AGGTAATAATGGAATCTATTATACACGTCTAAGCTTTATTCAGTACAGTAGACCTCCGGTTAACTGTGTAAAACATTCTCTGTGAAAAAACAGAGTTGAAGAGTACTTTACTCACACATTATTCAGTTTGTAGCCAGTCCCATCCCACTGGAACTAGGACTGGATAAACAAACCAAAGACCTTAAGTTAGTGGTTTGTTTGCTATGTTGTATGAAAATCGGCAGGGCCTTAGTCTCTGCCTTGTCTTGAGCTCTCCTAGGTTCTCATGTCACACTCAACCATAGGCGCAGGATCTGCCCCTTATTTAGCTCCTTTAGCAGCAAGTGAGAGTAGATGGGATTCTGTGGCTCCCTGGCTTATTGTGTTGGGTACACTAGGCCACAGAACATATTAGGACTGAACACCTTAATTATGCAGTAAGGTTTTATGGACTAAACTCCACATAGATTTGCTTTCTCATTTCTAGCTAGTTATTTCTGTAGGAGACACGCAGTAAGGTTTTATGGACTACACTCCACATAGATTTGCTTTCTCGTGAGGAATTAAATGCTTTCATTTCTAGCTAGTTATTTCTGTAGGAGAACTTAAGCAAAGAATGAATAACTTGGTCTGTTACAGAAAATCCAGGATGCTATGTCAGGCTTACTTGGTTCTTGAGATTAGGAAGGGAGTTTCCCTCTCCAACTCCTCACAGGAGGACGATGAACACCTAAACGATTAGCCTGTGTCAAAAATCACCTTAAGAGGCCTATTAAATACTGTACAAAAGTTTTAACATAGGAGAACAGTTGCAGGGAGGCAGCTTTTTTGTATCAAAAACATGTGGGTTCGGTGTCTCAGTCGGAGATTTCCTCTGGGGTTTAACTGCCTGAAAGGAAATGCAAAAGACCATCTCAGGGGGACCCTTGTGAAGCTAGAGGAGTCTCCCAAGGAACGGCTGTATTGCCATAGGGATTTCCTTTCAGATAGAATTCAAGGAAAAGAACAGCAAGCTTTTTCTTGTCAGAAGAGCTGTATCTTGGAAGCAACTCGTTAAGTTCCATAAAATGGAGCATCATCATCATCATGTGCCAGCATATGTTTTTATCAGTGGGTTTTTAAAATGTGGTGGGGAGCTCATGTCTACAAATGAATGCCTCTGTGAATAGCATTCGTACATGATGTGAAACAGGAACTGTTCTTGGCTATAAACCATTTTGAGCTGTTTTTTCCAGACAATTTTATATATAAAAATCCCATCACCCATCTGTTTCTGTTTACATATAATTAAGGAAGTGGGGAGGGGGATTCAGTGTACATTAGGGATGTGAAGTCATCACTTTTTTTGTATTTGGGTGCAAAAAGAAGGCACTGTTCTCACCCTGCCAAAATGCAAGATTTTACTGATGTGAGAATTATATATGACATTTCACATTTTCTCTGCTTTTGTATTTGGGTGCAAAAAAAAGGCACTGTTCTCACCCTGCCAAAAAGCAAGATTTTACTAATGTGAGAATTATAACTCTATGACATTTCACATTTTCTCTGCAACCTACTGTATATTAGAACCCATAAGCAAGTTCAGCCATGTTTATGAGTAATCTGGACTTTCTCACCAGACTACTTGTAAACATGCTCAAACACACTCATAAGCTCAAACATAGGTTGCAGAAAAAAAATGCGACATACCACAGAAATCCTCCCCCTAGTTATCACATCGGTGAAGGCAGTTCTGAAAATTGTAATATTCAAGATTGGGCAAGCTTCAAAGAGTTCTAGTTAAAATGACTCTTGAGAACTGAAATGTACTGAAACCCTTCTCCTTGTAAAGCAGGATTTAAGCCTATTTGTATTGATTGCCTATTTCCATTGTGTCTCCTGCCTCTCCCAGAGCTGTGGCCTCAGGAAAAAAAAAAGATGTACTAGCAGAATTCTTCATTAATCCTTGGAGATGCTGCTCACGTATGTTTTCAGGCGTTCACAAAGCCTTTTATAGCATCTACTTTTCCAGGATAATTCCCTACACTGTTAGAACTGTGTACCTCTGTTTCTGACAAATATCCCTGTGTTGATTGTAGTGGAGGGGTCCCCACTTGCTGAAAACTGGAGCATTTCACTGATGATTAAAATACATTCTTCGTGTAAAGGGAAAAGACTGGTTATAAAAGGTTAGATGAAAGGCTTGCTGCTGTTTGAAGCACACTTCACATCAGTGTTCACTTGGCTTCTTTCCCCCCCTGAATATGTTTTATATTCCAATCTCCTTCCTCTAATGAGGGGAGAGGCAGAATGTGGGAAGTTGGTCAAGGACACCACAACTGTAAGTACACTTACTTTTCAAAGATGCCTTGACAGGCATGTATGACTCCTCACTGCAAAGCCATGCAAGACAGACAAAGAAACAAACTAGGGGGAGAATTCCCCATCTTGATATTAATTTGCTGCCACAGTCTCCACATAGCAACTCACATGGATTTTTTTGGGGGGGGGTATGAGGAGGCGAAAATGCTTCTGAATAAATGCAACCTCTGCTCATAGGCCAAGATCATTTTTGCAAGAGATTGTTCCAGATAAATGTAACTACCGGCTTTAAAAATGAGAATGTTGTGATCTTGCACTTCAAACTGTGAACTATATAAGTTGTAACTGTTGCTCTAGATGGAATAATTTCATTAATCAGTAGGAACAGTACTGTAATGTTTACCAATTTGCATAATTTTGGTTTGTTAGTTGTGAAGAGACTTTGACTCCTTATTTCAGACCCCTGGAGATCTACTTTCTGGCTTCTGAGATTTCAGGAAAAAAGTGTTCTGCTTCGATACCACCCTATAGCGCTTAAGGCAGGGACGTAGTGGTGCTGGGGGTTAAACTGCAGAAGCCTCTGTGCTACAAGGTCAGAAGACCAGCAGACGTAAGATCAAATCCACACGACGGAGTGAGCTCCCGTCGCTTGTCCCAGCTCCCGCCAACCTAGCAGTTTGAAAGCATGTAAAAATGTGAATAGATAAATAGGTACCACCATGATGGGAAGGTAACGGCGTTCCGTGTCTAGTCGTGCTGGCCATGTGACCACAGACACTGTCTTTGGACAAATGCTGGCTCTATGGCTTGTAAACGGGGATGAGCACCGCACCCTAGAGTCGGACACAACTGGACTAAATTTCAAGGAGAACCTTTACCTGTACCTAGCGCTTAAGGCACCCTCTGGACGGTTTGCAATTTAATTGTGCAAGCTACACTTTGCCCCCACCCTGAAAGCTTTACCTACTTGAATTGTGCTAGATGTTTGTATACAAATAGTTGTGATGCTCCCTGACACCACACATACAATATCAAGAACTCAAGTACAAGATAACCACTTTCTCTCAGCATTCCCCTTGTTGCCACACCTTTCACAAAGTCCAGGATGGGTTAGGATTGGTTAGGATCAAGTCCAGGATGGCTAATCCTCTAGTTTCTTCCTCCACTTTTTGTAGGATAAAATTATCATCCACACAAGCCAATAATTTCTTACAAGGGCCATATTTGGCAGAATTTGCCTCCCAACAGATATCAGGATAATTGATACAAACTTAAAACCTGGCTATTTGGGCAGGCTTTCTCTCCTTCCATATCTTAATTCTTATACTTTCATCACCTTGGATCTATAATATATAATATATGTTTTTGCTTTTATTGTTTTTAAATTTGCAAACTGCCCAGAGTAGCACTTTGGTCTAGATGGGTGGGTTAGAAATCCAATAAATAAAAAAATAAATAAATAAATCCCATTATTACTACATTGTATCTCTCTTAAATTCTTGCAATTTGCTTTTTCAAAGGTTTCATCCCCATCTTCTCCTTAATTCAGCAGTTGGTAGTAGACTCCCAGCTACCATGGTCTTTTTATTTTTCATCCCAGTTATATTAATCCGGATGTTTTTGATGCTTGCCTTGGCAGTGGGGGCATAATCCCTCTTCCCACTCAATTCCCCTCTCCAACACTTTTGCAATCCTATAAAGTATTACTCTTTTCCCTCTCACACAGTACCAGAACTAGGGGACATCCACTCAAACTGAGTGTTGGGAGAGTGAGAAGAGACAAAAGAAAATATTTCTTTGCCTAGTGTGTTGTTGGTCTGTGGAACTCCTTGCCACAGGATGTGGTGATGGCATCTGGCCTAGATGCCTTTGAAAGGGGATTGGACAGATTGCTGGAGGAAAAGTCCATCACAGGTTGGAAGGCATGATGGGGATTGTATAATCTCCAGGCTTTGAAGGAAGGTCCCCCAAAATGCCAGATGCAGGGGAAGGAGATCAGGAGACACGTCTCTGGTTGTCTCCTGTGCTCTCAGAGGCATCTGGTGAGGCCCCTGTGAGATACAGGAAGCCGGACTAGATGGGCCATTGGCCTGATCCTGCAGGGCTCTTCTTAATGTTTTTATGTGAAGTGCAACTCCTGGATCATATCGGAAGATTGCCTAACCTTTTAAATAGGTTACAGATCTCCCCTACACCTATTAACATTCTTAAAATATCAATTTTAAAATTTGAAAGAGCATTTCCTGCCAATTCTGGTTCTACTTTTGGCTGTCTACATGACCTTGGGAGATGGTTAATGCTAGTGTCAGGAAACTGACTGCTGGACCCACCAAAGCTGCCCACCTCGATCTATGGGGTACATCCTGCTTACTGCAAGAAAGAGCTGGTGCCTCTTGAGAAGCCACCTAAAGGGAGAGAAGTATCCCATTTGCCCATGTGGGCAACATAACCCATGGGGCCAGTGATGCCCCGGGCTCATTCTTCTCAGAAGCCATTGTAGGCAGAGTGTCACCTTCACTTGTGCCGCTGCTGGTTTGATTGTGGCACAGAAGGCACAAAAGTCCATGTTCTATCAGACTCAGTCGTACAAGATGTTGAGTCTTCCACTTGAAATCGAAATATTCAATATGAGGCAGGCCTGGAAGCAGCATCATTTAAGAAGAACAGTGAACAAAAAGAAGAGCCAAATGTTTTAATTTGCAATAACAGCATTGTCCTGGGGAGTGGCTGTCCAGCTGCAGTCAGCAGTGCTGGCTTTCTAGGAGCACAAATCCAATATAGTTAAGTGCTAATAGCTGAGATTTTCATATGCCTCCTGTTCAGAAGAATCTAAGAGCACTTTTATGGGACTCTGCAGACAGGAGAATAGTATTACGAAGGGCAAAACATGCAAATGCCGTCACAGTAAGCGAGGACTTGGAGATCAGACAGAGAGACTATACATGTACCTGCAATTCTTCTGTGCTTGCGGTCATGTGAAAAAAGGTGGTCATGGTTCCTACCTTAGGTATAGCTGGCATACTTCTGCTCACGTGTTTCACACACATGACCACGCAATTTCTTCCACAACAGCCCAGCAAGGGAGACAGTAGATACATTCTTCTTCATTGTGTGTTATCTCTGTTGGGAAGATTAATGGTAAAAAGGTGGCAGACTGAACATGGTTCTTGGCATACTTCTGAAATAGCCACTCGTGCAAGCATTTCCCCCACTCTTTTTCAGACAATGAAAGATGGCGTGGTAACACACCCCAGTGTCATTCCCAAACCATTTTAAAGCCGTGTGCTTGTGCTAAAACAAAAACAAAACCCTGCAAAACTGATTTGGCCAGAAGATTAGAATGGCTCGCTCTGTTATCACCTTCAACAGAGGTATTGTCAGTATCCAGCCAAAATCTTTATGCTGCTAAATAAGCCCCAGGAGCAAGAAGCAACCTTGTTGGACCTCTCTAAAATGGATTTCACAGCATGAAAGTGTAGGAGGGATATCTTTGTATTTTTCAAGGCCAAGGTGTCTGTGTGTGACTTTGACAGCAGTAGATGAGAAGAATCAATTGAATGTAGCACAGGGAGTCATGGCTGACATTCTGGAAGGTGAGGGAAGGTAGAGACTAAAATACCTATAACTCCTGACCAAACAGGAAAGCAACACAAGGGTCAGAATGGAGCTACCTGCTGGGTTAGTCTGCAACAGATACACATTCCACTTCGGCAGGATCCAGCCCCAACAGAGCAAATCAGCAACACAGCTGCTACTGAAGCACTTCCTAAAGGCTTGAGTTCATTTCTGCAAGTGGAGCACTTGTGGCCAAACAGTGCTTAATGGTTGGGGATAAGTAACTACCTTATTAACAGTGGAAGCTTTTGGTACTAAATTAAAAATCTTGGCTTCTAGCCTTTCCACAGCTCTGGCCTCTTAGGGGACATTAATATCCGAACTCCGCAGCATTCCTATTATCGCTTCATTAAGGATCAGATAATGATATGTATGGATAGTTTATCCTGCACAGATGCTGATGAATGGATAATATTTCACAAGGTGTTAATAGGGACATTCTTTTATGAAGTGAGCAGAAGGGTTCTCTTATATTCAAATAGTATAATTTTGTCCACTTTCACTAATGTGACAGATTTAACACAGTTTTTTTCAAAGCCCCTGACACCCTTGGGAGACACGGAGGACAGCAGTAATAACACTGCCAATGGCTTCAGATTCTTACGTTTATGTCTCCTTGGTTCTATAATGCTGTCTAACTGCATAAACTCTGAGCCCCTTAGCCTGCAGAACAACTATTTTCTATCACCTTCCCCGCCTCCTCCTACCCACCCAGGTCAAAAGAGTGACAAACCTCCATGATATTTTACAAAGTAGAGTTTCCTTTGGAAGAGTGACTTTGACCTGAAAACCTTCAGCTAGAGAGCAACTCAACCTACTATATAACCAAGGCACATGCATCAAAGCCAGCAGGAAATCTTTAACCATTTCTCCTCAGGCATCAGACATACACCTTAAGAAACCATATCTTCTGTTGTTTGCCTGTACTATACCAGAGTGCTCTTCTCTTCCACTGAAGATGGAGTGCTACTTCAGAAAACTGCCTAGAAGCAAGGGCTTGAATATACTGCCCTAGGCATGTTTTCTGTAGTTAAATGAAAACTACTTCAGGCGCCTTTTGTGGATGACCAGATGTGACAGAATCCAACCTTGAAGGAAGTCTGCATGAAAACAAGTTCTCTTGATAAACAGAAAAGTGTGCCTCAGAAAAGAATGTTCATTTTCTTCTTGGTTCCCAAAGAATGGGCCAAGCAGGAACTAGGCACTCTATCCTGAATAACAGTAGCAGTGGTGAGGATGGTGATTATGATGATGAAATAATGCTTCCAGCAAGAAACTCTTACTCACACTGAATCAAATTCTAACAATAACCTCAGTTGCCTCCTTTTGCTTGAGGAACCACTACAGCAGAAGATACAGAATCCTGAAGCATCTTTAACATGTTGTACTTTCATGTAAAAAAACGAACCATTAAAGCCCCAAATTTCCTTAAGCCAGCTGTAGGACATATTACATACTGGGATTATATCACTACCCCAGTTTTATCAAATGTTGGCTCTGCTATTGATTTATTATTATTATTATTTAAATATTACAAAACTTGGTGAGTCTCTTGTCTCTTACCAGAGTGTAGATGGCTGGGAATTTTCCTCTTTTGTTTTCTGTTGTCTGGAGGAATGTCTTCTTCCAGCAAGAACTGCCTGCCTTACTTGTTCATGCGAGGCAGAATATCTGAGGGTGCTGACCATGAGAGAGGCCAGAAGGGAGAGGACTAGGAATTGGGCCTTCTCAGTGGTCACACCCGGATTCTGGGATCAGCTCCCTCTGGACATCCACCTGGCCCCCTCACAAATAACTTTCAGAAAATCTTTAAAAACCTGCTTGTTTAGACAGGCATTTCCATAAACGGAAACCCTTTGAAACGTTCATCCACTGAATTATTCCTACTGGCTTTTAAAATATCTAATGTTTAAATGTTAATTACGTAATAGTTTAATTAGCGGTCCATTTTATGATGCATATATGTTGATTTTTATTGTCTTATTGTTTGATTATGTTGTAAACTGCCCAGGGTGGCATTGGCTAGCTAAAGAAATAAATGATATTTACTAGGTTTTAAACCTGCACCCCTTCTTGTACACCTGGGAATAGTGGGAGTATAAGTGTGTCAGATGATGTTAAAGACAGTAGTTTTTTAAAAGAAGCATTCAAGGATGTCCTCTCTTAAGTTAATTTATGTCTGTTCCCTGATTCTGCCATAATTTGGGTTTTTAATTGTGGTGTATGTCTTATTTGTGATTGTTAATAATTGATCTTTTTTGAATTTATGGGTAAACCGTTTAGGAGAGTGCTTAGCACTAAATCAAGCAGGATATAAATCTCCTAAATACATGAATGGTACATCTTCGTGTGCCTGCCTAAATCAAGCAAGGCATTCTAACCAAAGCACAAGATATTTCCACAAAAAATCATGTTCATCCCTTCTGGATTATTAGCTGAGTATCTAAACCCAATAAGCAGGCAGGGAAACAGTGACTTTCTAGATGTTTTTAGATAATGACTCTCATAAACCTTCACCATTTTCTACCCTCAGAGCTTCAGGCCAAAAATATCTGGAGGACCCCAGTTTCCCAGTCTGCTATATACAAATCTAATCCTCCCTGTATTAAAACTGGCATTACACATTTGTCAAGACTGCTTGCTCAGAGTTTTGTTTTGTATGGAAAAGCAGTTACATGAAAAAAAAAACATAGGAAAATGAACGCATACTCAAGAATGGTTGGGTGAAGGAAGGGAAGAGAAACACTGGCCCTCCAGATGTTTTCCATGTCAGCTCCCAGGTACAGCACCTGGGGCCAGACTGTCCACTCACACGGCCAGCCCAGCTCATCCTTCCAATTGCTCCCGAGCTCTATTCTCTTCCTGGTGAGCTAGCCACTCCTGGCTGGGGGGGGGGGAAGGATGAGTCTCCCTGCAAGGCTGCTGAGTGGCGCTCTGGAACTGGTCATGTGAGTGGATAGTCCGGCCCCAGGGGTCAGACCCTCATGAAGTCCAGCTGTGCAGGGATATTTGTATACAAATATGAATACCCCCATCTCTACTTCTCACTTTTCAGTCAGAGCTCAGAAATTTACTTTTAAAAAAGTAGCTTCTTCTGCAACTCATTACTTTGGACCAGCAACAAGTACCTTTGCAAGAACAATGGGTTACAGTATTTTGTGCAATAAACAGACTTCTTGAGGAACCTGGTGATTAGTTGCATGTTTTTTTTCTCAGTGGCTGCTCCAGTAAGGAGGAAAGAGAATATATTAGTTCACAACCTTGGGTGACTCAGGTGTTCTTGAGGGAACATCTGCAACTCTCAGGAACCCTGGCCAGCACAACTGGTGGTGAAGGCTGTATCCTACAGGAATCACTTGATGTAACCCACCCCCCTCCACACCTTGGTACTTTCATTAGGGTTGCCCTGAATTACCATTCATTTGGAGATGGGATAAGATCTCAAGAAAGTGCCTGCCATTGTTTAGACAGGGTTCTTATGAGCATTAAGAAAGAAAGAAAGAAAAAGTCACCACCTGTTGGTACCTTCTTGAGTATATTCAACAAGAGAAGCATCAAGAATTAAAAACTGCATCCAGCTGGGTTGAAGTCCAAGTTGGAAGAAATTATAGGACCAGCATTCCTGCGCTCGGGGAAGCCAAAAACCACCTGCCTTCTACAGGTCACCATGTGAGAGACCATGGAACTGTGGTTGGGCTGCTGCCAGCTACCAACTTTTTCCAAGGGAGCCTGGCTCAGCCTCCCTCTGCTTTGCAGGATTGGGCCCTGCTACTCCTGGCTGCCCCACCCCCTCCCTCAACATCTGCCACATGGCTCGGAGGGGAGAAAGGGCTTTAGAAGGGTTGATGTTTTTTAATTGTTATTATTAATTTCCATCAGGTTACATAGAGACCCACAGTGGACCTGATGGAACAGGAAGGGGGGAGGGCGTTGGAGGGGGCAGCCATTGTGGTGGTGCGGGGTAGGGGAAGGAATGGCGGCGGGGGTAGAACATGCCCGCGTAGGAGAAGAGAGGTTAGATATCTTACATCTATCCCCTCTTCTAGTCCTACCCCCAACCAGATGGTATCAGGTGACCATATCAGCAAACCCTCGAGCCACTCAGTGCTGTTGATGAACGCCAGGTCAGTACAAAATAAAACTGCCCTCATCCATGATGTAATTCTGGATGAGGCTGCTGACCTGGCGTGCATTACTGAGACCTGGGTGGGAGAGGAAGGTGGTGTTCCCCAATCCCAGCTGTGTCCACCTGGGTGCTCGGTCCCTCACCAGTGTCGCTCAGAGGGTCGGGGAGGGGGAGTTGCTATAGTCTATAGGAGTTCTGCGGACAGAGGGAACAAGAGACCATCTGCCAGC